ATTTCTATCTTTGAGGAGCTGGTATTAGTAAATTATCTGAAAACCGTAAACTTCCAAACAAATCATCGTAAACATCGTTGAAGGCACTTTAAGGAGTTGGAATAAATAAAGGAAACTTGAAAATTTTATGAACTCGCTATGAAGTTTTTCAGATATTGTGCTTAATAAACTACGTTTTTTATAGAAGTCATTGTTTGAAAAAATGGTTAAAAAATAAAGCAGTATATTGAGAGTTCAACCAGGAATAAACACGTTAGGCAAAAAAATGTTACGGATACGTGGGAAGGACTGCCTAAAAGTTGTATATCCCTAATAATATTATAAATGAGAAAATCTGGATATTTAATACTTAAGCACGCTAAAATAGGTAGACGGATCTGGATGAAGTTGTGTTCAGCGATAAATAATAGACCGGAATATCACATAGGTTACTTTTTATTACAGGAATTAACTTTGAAATATATAGTACATTTCATGATCTACAGTCCAAACAGCGGGAGTATTACGTTTCTTGGAAAGTGACATTATGTCGTTTCTTTTAAATTATGTAGGTTCTTTCCGAAATTATGTAGGTTTTTCGACAAAATCTCAACTTAGCACTGGATGTTGTACATTTGTTGTGTACCTACTCGTTCTACCACTTCAAAGTCTGCTTGGTGCCAAGGCAGTCGTAGTAATGTAGAAGGTATGGTTGGAAGCATTGATCTTCCTCAGCGTTTTTTTAACATCTTTCAATTTTGAGATTGAGCTTGCATAATGTAGTAATAAAAATAGTAATAATAATAATAATACCGTCCAGTGGCGGCTCGTGAGGTAGTGCCACGGTGCCATGGCACTACCTTGTCTTCTTCAAAAAGAATATTTTTTTCAATCTTCAATGTTTTACTTTATTTTTTGCTTTTTCATTTTTTTTTGGTATAAATTATATGAAGTGACAACACTGACAACGTGACAACACCGCAAGCACCCGAACCACGCGACGAGATATAAAGCATGCCTTGACCTTGACGTCATCAACTTGTGCCAATGTCGGGCCGGCCCAAATAAAAAGAGAGAAATTTTACCAGCATCGCATACGAGCGACAGAGATAACGCTACAATACACATTTTTATATGAGGTGAATAGCGAAAGACAAGTATAATTTGTGCCAGGCACATCATCAGTCGTAATTCGTTATCAAATGATATCGGCGGTGTTTTTGTTCGGTCGGTCGTTTCGTTATGATTACGTCTAGTGCTGATTTCGGTCTTTTTTTACCTGAAAAGTGAGAAATAACGTTTTTGTTTTAGTACGTCTAGTGTTAATGAACTGCTCTGTTTTGTGATCATATTTTTTACTGTTTTATTAAAACTAGTGAAAATGAATAAAATCGGGATATTAAAAAACTCATTTAGTGGTTTTTCGCTGGATCAAAAACTGCAAATTAAAGAATTAGGACGGCCAATACCCGATTTAAAAATTGAGAAACAAAGTGGTAGCGGACAAAAATCGCGCTGTCGCAAATTTAATAAAAATGTGTACGATAAAAACAGCTGGATATGTGGTTGTGAAGAAACGAATAAACTATTTTGTTTTGTATGTGTTCTATTTGGAGGTGACGAGACTTGGTCAAAAAAAGGTACAGATGATCTTATACATATATGGGATAAAATGAAGACCCACGAAAAATCTAAAGTCCATATGAATAATGTTTTTAGCTTTTCTATTCTTGGTAAATTAAATATAAGGACTCAACTCAATTCGGCTTATCGCAATGATCTAATTAAACATAATAATCAAGTGGATAAGAATCGATATGTATTGAATAAAATTATTAATTGTATAAGGTTTTGTGGAGCATTTGAGTTAGCCTTAAGGGGTCACGATGAAAAGGAAAATTCGGAAAACAGAGGCATATTTAAGGAGCTGGTGAATTTTAGCGCCGAATTAGACAACGAATTGAAAGTCCATATTCAAAGTGCCAAACTTTTCAAGGGTACCTCAAAAACAACTCAAAACGAGCTTCTTGAGTGCATGCTAGATGTTTATCATGAAGAAGTTAAGAAGGAGATTGCAAATTCTCCTTTTGTTGCAGTAATTGCCGATGAAACGACTGACGTAGCCTGTGAATTTCAGTTAGTTATTATTTTCAGAAATTTGTGACAACCAGTTGAGAGATTTTGGAGATTTTACGTCCCCGACGGACACGATGCCAAATCAATCGCTGCATGCATTTTAAATGTTGTAAATCCATTAATAGATCAAAATCCAAACAAATTAATAGCTCAAAGCTATGATGGTGCGTCTGTTATGAGTGGTGAATTGAATGGCGTTCAAAAGATTATTAAGGAAACTTATCCACTTGCAAATTATGTTCATTGCTATGCACACCAGTTAAATCTAATTATGACAAGCGCATGCTCTGTCAATAAGCAGGCTAGAATATTTTTCCATAATTTATCTGGATTGTGCTCTTTTTTTTCGACGTCTCCTCAAAGAACAAAAATTTTGGATGAAATAGTTAATCGCAGATTGCCAAGATCTTCCCAAACACGTTGGAATTTTCAGTCACGAGGTGTTCATACAGTTTATGAAAATAGGAAAGACCTGATTGAAGTTATGGACAATATAGAAAGTACTTCACGCGATTCTTCGTCGATTAATCAAGCCAGTGGGTACAAATTAAAGCTGCAAGATACAAATTTTGTATTTTGGCTAAGTATATTCCATAAAATAATGCCACATGTTGAAATTGTCTTTAACCAATTACAAAAAGTATGCACCGATTCTGTTAAGGTCAAAAATGATTTAGAGAATTTTGAAGCAGCAATTCAAACTATACGAGAACAAATGGATAGCATTATTGACGAGATTGAACGAGTGCAGAGAGAAACTGATGAACCGGCAAGAAAAAAAAGGCAAGTTGAAGAAGGCAGCAAAAAACGGGAAGCGTTAGAAATATGCGATGCAGTATTATCGCAAATAAGAACAAGATTTAACTTTTCTGGGCATTTAGTTGCTTCTAATTTATTTGTGTCTGAAAAGTTTTCTGTTTATAAACATCAGTTTCCTGAAGCACATTTAAATGACACATGCACACAATTTTCATTTTTAGACAAAAACAGGCTTAAAATTGAGTTACAAGTATTATATCAGAGAGAAGAATTGAGTACTACTTCTGGAGCTGTTCCACTATCCATTTTATTGAACGAGGAAGGATTAAATTGTACGTTTCAAGAAACTCTTAAGCTCTTAAGTATTTTAATCACTATACCGATGTCAACATCTGAAGCAGAACGCTCTTTTTCAATGCTGAAACGGATTAAAACTTTCCTCAGAAACACAATGAAGGAAGAAAGGCTTAGTGCTTTAGGAATGCTGTCTGCAGAAAAACATTTTGTTAGTGGCATTGAAAATTTTAATAATAAGGTAATCGAAAACTTTGCTACCAAAAAAGAAAGAAGAATGGACTTCATGTATAGAAAACTTTGAAGTTATAGGTACTTCTCCACACTTGTTTTATAATTTGGTGCGCGTGTGTAAATAGTTTTATTTTTGATTTTTTTTTGGACATATAGATTTATTGAACCTCAAGAACTTTGACCACTAACTATCAGGGGTAAGTTATAAGTTATTCTTTACAATTTTGAATCGATTCAAAATTATGGCTTCCATTCTGGCACTACCTCACTGAATTGGCACGAGCCGCCACTGATACCGTCTGTATCTACAAAGGTACAGAAGAGCGACTCATTATGACCGTAGAGTCTTAGCATTGCAACGTCACAATAGTATTGAAAGCAGTTAAACGAAGGTAACTAATTAAGCTAAGTATGTATTATTAATAAAAATTGAACAAAGAAAAAAAACATTATAACGTAGAGCTCTGTGCCTGTAATGCCTCATCCATCTTTTAACACCGTATCATAAAGACTTTAATCTTTTGGTTAGTCGTTACCGGTTCAGGTGGCCATCACGTTGAAAAGCTTCAGTTGTCACCACACAAAACTTTAGAACAGTGAATATGATACAGTTATGTTCGAGCCTCGTCTCGTAAATAGAATAGATATAGTACCCCGTTTCCCGGCCAAATCCTCGAATTCAAACCGCAGCGAAGAAAAGAGGCTCACCGCGCTCTCCCACCTTCCCCCTGGCGTACAGACTCTTATGCCTTGTTCTCGTGCCAAGCGCTTATCATCGTATTCGAGTTGGTGCACCGATTTTTACCTTTTCACCAGTGTCGAGGTGCCCAAGCATAAGAAACGACAAAGGAACTGATCTTCGCACACGACAAATATTTGACAGCTGGAGGGAAGGTGGGCCGATAGATGCGCATTGTCTTACCGTAAAGGTTTCTTTCGTCGCGAAACAGAGTCAGAAAGTAACGTTTTTTTTCTGAATGGGAGACCCCATCAGGTAATTTGGCGACTAGCCGATCTGTTTTAGTTGCAAGTTTATGAAGTTAGATGAATGTTAGTATGGATGGGTAACCGGCCTTGCAGACTGTGCCTGACGTGACGTTTGGGATAACGTACCGACACTGGACTATGTTGGTTGAGATATCAACAGGGACCTAGCCTGTGAGCCAACTCCACACCAAGGACGAACAAAAACGTTTGAGATAACTTTGAAGCTTTGGACTCGGTTGCTTGGTGTAGCAACGTGGTCCTGGCTTGTGATAGCTCCACACCAAGGACGAACTAAGGCATTTGGGATAAGCAACATGGTACTAGGTTGCAGCTCCACACTAAGGGCGAACGAGAAGACCTTTGTGCTAACGTGGAAGCATTAGACTCGGTTGCTTGGGATAGCAACGTGGACCTGGCTTGGGATAGTCAGATTCACACCAAGGACGGACAAAAACGTTTGAGATAACTTTGAAGCATTACACTCGGTTGCTTGGGATAGCAGCGAGGACCTGGCGTATGATCAGTTAGCACTAAGGACGAACGAAGACCTTTGGGATAACGCGACTATTCGAGTCTTTAAGCATGCGATGAGTTTTGATTATATCACTTACCACCATGCTTCCGCCTTTTCCTTCCTAGCGCTTCATCACTGCTGGATTCTGTGAGATCATCCCTGACGTCATTTGAATGTTCCCTAAGTTCTACATCTTCCACCTCCACATCTTCTTCTTCTTCATGCCACGGCGCTGTCATCTCCAGCGATCGCATTCTTTTCAGTCTCTGTAAAGAAAATACAGTATATTTGAGATACCTTTCGAATTATAATAAATGTGTGCCGGTACATGTGATAGAAATGTAAACGGTCCGCAATACAGGGTGGAGCATCGAAAGCGAAACAGACGCATTTAATGGCAGCTGAGTTTTTTTTTTTTGGAAAAACGCTCAGACCCGTCGATTTTTTTCGAGGGGACACAAGTTTGGCAAAAAATCACGTTAACACGTGCAGCTCCCTGGGCGGGGGTGACACCAACCCTAAAATCTTAAATGGAAAGGGAGGTCGAGTGATACCTTATTTTAAAAATTAAATACCTTGGGAATATATTGAGAAAAACATCTTCGAACATTATTCCACGCACTAATTGAGCCTCATATCACATATGTTATATTAGCATGGGGAGCTGTATGTTCATCAAATAACTATAATTTAGATGTTTAGAAGTATTCTAAAAATGATGTTTAAAAAACCGAAACTTTATCCCACTGACAAATTATACGCAGATGTTCGAATGTATGATATAAGAGCTTTATTTCTTACACAGTATCACTCACTACCATAAATTTGTAAACTCCGACCAAAAAATTAAACATAATCATTATACAAGGTACAAAATTCATGGCACAGTAGTTCCTCAGTCGCATAAATGTATAATGCAGCGGTCATATCTCTATTTAGCGCCAAAATTTTATGAAATTATACCTAAAGACTTAAACGATTTACGTTTCGGAAATTGTTTCAAAAGAAATTTAAAAAAGTGGCTACATTCTATATCGAGGACTGAAATTCATAAACTCATAAATACATCAAGTAAATACATAATCTACTGAAGCTAATTTTTGTCCTTTTTTGTCATTTGCCTTCTACAGTTGCAATTTAAAATTACTGGTCCATGTACAGGCGATGCCTACTGTTGGACCTGTTTTGATTTTATATTTATTTACTCATGTTGTTTGTTATCTTTGTACACTGAGTAAATAAATATTATTATTCAATGGGACTAACTGCTTCCGCCATCTGATCCGGTATTTATCCCCCTTTCGACGCATTCAGGGACGTTCCAGCGTTTTCCAGATCAAGTCGTGAACTTTCTTGGAAGTGGTCTAGATGGCAGCAGGTGCCTCCAGATAGATCTCGATTGTCCTTGAATCTCGGTGTAAGTCTCTTTTGGACAGCGCCGCAAGCGTTCTCACACGTTCGCGCAACTCGTTGCTCAAACGTAGGTGACTAATCGAAGATCAAGCTTCCAGATATACGAGGGCGAAACAATATTTTATTCATACCACCGGCCAAAACCTAGTTGTTGTACAGCGGAAACGTTAGTAATTTAGAAAAGATCTTTATTTTTTATCGCTTGCACCGTCGAAAAGGTGGATTTAGCTCTTCTTTGCTCCAAACATCTAACGATGATACCATCTGAACGACATGTTACAATAACGTTCTCTATGCAAGTATCCTCGTGATACTTTCTAGTTCACAACTTAATTCATTTATTCCAAGCAAACGCCAATTTTGTGCGCGAACAGCAACTGCAAATTGTGAGACAACAGTTCACATTATACGGGTCCGCGGAATAAATTTTCAGCAACGGTGGTTTCAAGTGAGTGTATTGAACCTAGATAAATACTTGTTATTTAAGAAATCACACAAAATATCCCACACCTGGCGTATTGCCAATAACAGTCTGCGGTGTTGAAAATGATGATGAGAGTGCTAGATGCAACTTTGCGGTGAGGCGGTTGACTTTTTTTGAAACCAAAAACCATCGCAGGTTACGTACCTGTCTTATATACTGTTTTTTTATGTCACGCACCTGTCGCAATACCAATATTAGGTACGTCTAAACTGTATACGTAGAGTTTTAAGATACCACAAAAATAGGGAGAAGTACATGGCAACAGTAACCATCGATATACTCGGTAAAACTATGAATATGATATATACAGCGTGTAATGTAATAGATGACTCAAAATATAAAACTTAAACAAAAACATCTTACCTATAAACTACCACATGAGATTTTAGCGATTTTACAATGCATGAATAATAAAAAGCAAGTATGCAACAAGTTTTAACAATTTCTGTGGATCAAATAAACTAATAATATTTAATTTAACTATCACAAGAATTGTTGAAAATGTTTGCTGGAATGCAGGCTTCAATACTTTTTCTCACGGACTGGCCAACCCCTTCAAAAATGTCAGGAGTATTTATTTCTTATGGTTTGGCCAGAAAGTGAAATGGTCTGCCTTAGTTCCTCTATAGTTTGAACCGGTGTAGTATAAACTAAAGTCTTTAACACACATTCGCAGAAAACTGCTCCTAATGATTATTATGGAAATTTCGAAAGGAATTGCGGGAAGAACTAGTTGCATCAGTAGAGAATATTTTGATATCAAATAAAGGGTTTTTAACAAGTTCTTCTTAAAACAATCGGCAGAAATTTAAACGAAATGGAAAATCACGCGGCAGTATTGGTTGAACCTTTTGAATATGATAGGGGTATAGTAAATTATCAACAAGTATTTTCCGAATAACAAATTGGGCTAGTACAGTACAATTGCGTTAATATGAATACAAAGATCCTGAGGCGTTTATATTATGGAGATTGTTGATACTAGTGAAGGTTAAAAAAGTGGGTACATTATATGACCTTTTATACGTTATCTACATGTAAAATAAAACGCATGACAATTTTGGAACTCAAATCATTTATTAGTAAAAGGTTTTATTTGAATTTAGCTACTCTTTAAAGAAAAATAGGAAGTTAATTTAGACTGCGTTTTTTAATAGAAACATTTGCTAAAACAGCTCGTTCGTGGATGTTTTTTTAGTGTTATAATATCACTAGTGCCCACAGTGTTTTGTGTAGTCCACTCTAATGCAATTTTTGGAGCTTGAGCTGCCTCCTTGTGTGAAACTCTAAGATTTATATCCTCTTGGTCACTTTCTTCAAGTTCACTTTCAATTGCAAAATCCTCTGTCATTTCTTCTTGGGCTATTGCATTTTGGTTCCAGTCTCCCACGTAGTCAGCCTAGTTTTAAAAATAAACTGCATTACGTGCCTAGACAAAACTTTAGTGTTGATCTTAAAATTAATGCCCAAGAAAAATCAAGACTGGTTAGTCTTTTTACTTTTAATGAAAATACGCTTTGGATTTTGATTTTAAAACTAAGGACAGTCATGTGGCTTCATGATGTGTGAAAACAAGAAAACTTTGTATAATAACATCAAGATTTTGCATAATAACATCATAAGTTACCGGTTCTATAGCATGTGAAACATGATTGTTTCTTCTACGGCGGTATCTGTCTTCCCTTTGAGTTTTTGCCGTAAAACTGATAAAGGCAAGTTCATTCTCTTGCTCTAGATTGGCATACGTCAATATATTTTTCCAGCATTTTGTAATAGCCTGGGCACTTAACTTCTCCCATGCAGCTGCCAAATCCAAGATTGCATCTTTTGATGTAACTTTTTTAAGGGCTGTGCCTACCGAATCCTCCTAAACGATAATCGAAGTAAGAAAACTATTCCTGTGGTAGATTTTGGTAAGCGTAATATATTTTGGTCCATGGGTTGAATTAAAGGCAAAAAGATCACGAAAATCATTCCATCTTTAGTTTTGAATTCTTCAGCAGGTGGATGAGAGGGTGCATTGTCCAAAAGTAGGATTGCTTTTTCTGGTAGATTTCGAGCCCTCAAAAAACATTTGACCTAAAATTAGCATACCGCAATCAGAAGAGTATGCAGGGAAAAATCACAGTGTTAACATACCTCAGGACAAATTGTTTGAAAAATCAATTTTTAAAAATTTGCATTTTTAGTGTTCCTATATGCCAGTGGATTATTGATATTTTTGCAACGTCTAGGATTCTTTGATTTCCCGATGACTAATCGTTTGACTTTAAGAAAACCTGAAGCACTAGTACAGATGTGATTCTTCGTTTGACAATTCTTAGTCTAGGAGCAATTTTTTCGGCTGAAGATACACAAGTCTCGTCAGAAAGCAATTTCCAATATAATCCAGTTTCGTCAGCGTTGTACAACCGGTATTCGTTTAAATCATACTCTTGAATCACCCTACTTAATTTTTTTTAAAGTGGTCAACTATACTAAGTGACATATAAATCCGAACACCCAGTTTAAATGGTTTTATTTTAATAAAATTTTCTATAAGTACTTAATGAAGCATAATAAGTAAATGATAAAAAGCTCAAAATGATTGCACTGCTTTAAAGCCCTTTGACATTTAATAATGTGTGGATGCACCCTGATGTGCTACGCATTCTCCAACGCGCCTAGGCATGCTTCTGATCAGGTGGTCAATGTCCTCCTGTGGTATCTCATTCCAGGCAACCACCAACTCCTCCCGAAGTGCTTCTAGAGTCTGAGGTGGACGTTGCAAATTGAGCAATCTCCTACCCATCATATCCCATACGTGCTCAATTGGGGATAAGTCGGGAGATCTTGGTGGCCATGGTAACAATGTGACATCATTATGTTGAAAGAAGTCTATTGTGACTCTTGCAACATGTGGTCGGGCATTATCTTGTTGGAAAGTTGGATCTGCTAGGGTGTCAAGATAGGGTAAAAGATGGGGTTCTAGAACTTCGTGGATATAACGCTGCGCGTTCATGTTACCTATGATGAAGATTAAAGGTGACCTGGAACCATAAGCTATAGCACCCCAAACCATAACTCCAACAGTGTGATGAACATGTCTTTCAACAAAAAACTGTGGATTCCTCCTTTCACCACGTCGAATTCTAACCCTGGCAAGACCATCGTGCATGCCTAAACAAAATCGAGACTCGTCACAAAAGACAATACTGTTCCATTCCTGATCCCAGAGTGACCGTTGTCTGCACCACTCAAGGCGATTACGTAGGTGTTCTCGAGTTAAAGGGAGGACCCAGTGTGGCCGGTATGAAAACAAGCCAAAACTTCTCATTCGTCGGTAAACACTTCGCATGCCAATAGGTCTTCCGTGTTCTGCAAACCATTCATTTGCAATGAAC